GGAAGTTTATTTGCACAAATCATGATGAATTTTAGGAGGTTGGAGCTATTTTGAGATGTAGCAACACTATTTGGTTTTAGCAGCATTTTGACTAGCCTTTAGCTCATCAGTCATGTTGGAACAAAATCATGCATGCCTTTAAGTAAATTCAAAATGGCCGAAGACCTGTGTATAGGGTAACAACATCCCTTAAAGCCACATGAGCGTTGTTTTGTGCCTGTTTTGGGTTGTTGTGTTTTTTTTTGTTTTGTTTTTATGTTTGTTAGCTTGTTTTTTGCTTATTTTTTTGTTTTGGGTTTTTTTTTGGGGGGGGGGGTATCTAAATGGACTTTGTTTAGCACGTTTTGACTTCTGTTTCAGATCTTTTTTTTTTCTTAATATTTTTTAATGTAATAGTTTACTAACTTCAGCAAGTTTCCAAGTGTCTGAGTTGATTTTGGATCATTTAAAACTTCTCTTTTTTCTCAATTTTTTTTTAACTGACAATTTCAGGGAATATCAGTTTTATTTCTTGTAAATGCCTTTAAGTAATAAAATATTCACTTTTTTATTTAGATTTCTGACTTTCAAACATTCAAGCCTATCCTTAGTTTTTCAGTGGAAATAAAAAATATTTCTTAATTTCTTAGATCTCAGCTGTGGCTCTCAAACATTCTTGTGCACAGCCAGTACTGATATTTTTCCCGTTCTCTTTAACTGAATATTTTATGTGTGTTTTAACAAAATTTGGTTTGTTTTCCTTCCTTCACCAGATCGTCTGTGCAGTCTTTGCAGCCCTGCTCCATTTCTTCTTCTTGGCAGCGTTCACCTGGATGTTCTTGGAAGGGGTGCAGCTCTACATCATGCTGGTCGAGGTGTTTGAGAGTGAACACTCCAGGACTAAGTACTTCTACCTGGCAGGATACGGAGTGCCAGCTGTCATAGTGGCCGTCTCTGCTGCCGTGGACTATAGGAGCTACGGCACCGACCAAGTGTAAGGATGGCGGCGAAGGATGGGATGATGGGGAAAAAAACAGGGAAAGAGAGGGAGATGAGTCTGGAGTGCCTGCTGTCATTTTGGCTGTGTCTGCCACAGTGGACTCTGCAAGCTTTGGCACTTCTCAAGAGTCAATACAGAGAGGTTGAGAGGGATGAAAAGGAGGAGAGAAGTATGGGGACAAGCAGGAGAGGATCCACCACAGAGCGCCTGCATGAGTGTGACAGCGACAGTGTGTGAATATGGAAGGATTTAGCAGGCGGGATGGAGGGAGGAGGGCTGAGCAGGCTGAGGGAGAGAAAAAAGAGTGGTTTAGGAGTGAGAACGGAGGGGGATGATGGAGGAGTCTGTTAGGCCGCGCACACGTCCGCACCGTTTTGCACTCGTGTTTGTTGAAATGAAGCCGGCCTTTGCAGATGGAGCACGTGGAGCTGAAGAATGAGGGCACGCTTACATGCGCAGGGTTGTGCATTCACGCACGCTTGACTCGCTCAGCCCTAGACACTGCAGGACTCCCAAGAAAAGGCAGCCGGCATCTCATTCATATGAAGCATATGCAAAATAAGCAACAACATGAAAAAGCAAAGGAATGAATAGAAAACCCTGTTTCACTCCAGTGACCTGTCCACGCCGCTCATGCCGCCACAGAAAAAGGGCCCACATTTTATTCATCAGAGCAAATGCATAATGAACACATTCCTAACAGAAGCTACTCCTGACACGTCCGTGACCCGTCCTCCATTCTGTGGCCGCATGAAAGATAAATACTACATTAACAATCGGGATCTTGCATTTAATCAAAAAAGGGAGAGAAACTGCTCCTTTTGGATTATTAAATAAAAGCAGGAAGCCACCGGTAAATGATTTACACGCTCACGTTTGCAGCCGCTTCTCAGGGCGTTTGTGGCTGCGAACGTTGCAGCTCCTTGTGTCATCGCAGAGGTTTTAAGATGGGGGGGGGGGGGGGGGGGTCGAATTTAGCTGTGTTTAACTATCTAGCTACACCAATCGGGCAGGCCACGTAGATCAATATTTCATTGCGGGGTGATTATTAAAGCATGAAAGTCTGAATGCCAAGTTCTAGATGAATAATCCTGCTGCATGCCATTAGCCAATGGAGCATTGTAGAAAAGTTGAGGGGTTTTATAAAAAGAGAGAAGAAATGATAAATGACTCGGTGAGTTGTAGGAGAAGGGATCAGAGCTTCTCAGATGTAAACGATTCACGTCGTGAAAAAGATTGCTGTTAGAAGTTTTTGGTAATATTGAACCCAAATAGCTTTTAAAGAGCAAGTCAACCGCTACCAGAGTCTAACTCCACTCCCACTTCATGTTTGAAAAATGCAACAAATGTTGTTGCCTGGCAGACCGAGAGGGCGGAGCTGCTAACAAATACACACACACAGGCTCACAACAGCATTATGACATCATAGTGTACCAGTTTACATCATAGCATACCTCTTAGCCAATAGCGGTGGCAGATTTAAATTAAAATACAGTGCAGAGTTTTTACCTGACAACGGCACAACACTGCCAGTTTTAGGCAGAATATTTAAATTTTAACTAAGATGCACTGAAGTACCAAATTATTGACGACACGTGTCTGCAGCACGATTAGACACTCGTTTATTTAGTTTATCAGCAACAAAAATTTATTTGGGGGTGACTTGCTCTTTAAATAATCCCCTGCCTCGTGGCCCTCGCCGATATCAAATGTAATTGACGGGACTATTTTCACTAGAAGTACTTTTCTTTGAAAGCAAGCTCTTTAAAGATGTATTTCTTTTTTCAACGACACCTCTTATCATTTATTGACGTGACCGGCCTGACGAGGATCCGTGCTGCCACTGTTTTTTTTATTCTCCGTTCCCCTCCTCAGTCCCGCTCACATCCCGTAATGAAGGCGGCTATGACTTAGCAAAGGAGCCCTAATGGAGGGTTCTGTGACACAGTCAGGGACCCGTAATGGAGGGCTCACTAATGTGTTGGAAATTGAAAGATTAATAATTCACAAGCAGCTGGTCATGAATCAGCTGGCCGTTTGGCTCCGGCGGTTTCTCTCTGCCACCTTTCTCTAAAACCAGTTGGGCCTGACCTCAGCAGAGGGCACTCTGGGATGTCCTTTCTCTTTTTCTTTCCTTTTACCTCCTGCTTGCTGCGATTTACGAGTGCAGATGTTTTGTAGTAATGTGATTTAGCATACAGTAGTATATCTGTCCCCCCGGAGCTAACCTCAGAGTGAGGCACCGCTGGGCGTCTGTGTGTTCGTGAGCAGACATGACACGCCTGCGATCGTGTGCGCCTCTCCTTTGACTTCGCAGCCATTCCCAGACTCCATAAATAGTCTCATGAGCTCCGTAGTCAAATGAGCGGAGTCATGTCATATTTCTGCGACCGCAGGATGTGGTCGTATCATATATCTGAGCCCTAAGGGGGGTGTAAAGGTTTATTTATCACAGGTGCTCATCGCTTCTCTGTGTGATGTATGCTCGAGGTGTGCACATCATCTGTTTCCCTCCAACCTGAACCATCATTTCTGCTGTTTTTTCTTTCTCTTTCACCCAAATTCCTTCCGTCCTCTCTCTATTCTGACACATTTCATCTACTGTACATCTCATAACGCACCTTCTTTGTGTTTTCCACCTTCCCTCTCGTGACCGTGATGCATGTCCTGCCTTGTGACGGTAAATCCTCGCTTGTCTACATCCATCTGTGGGACTGGAGTGAGCTTTTTTAATCCCAACGCACGTGTCTTGTTTTTCCTCTCTGCGTGTTGTCATGCATGATGTCTCTTTATTTTTCTGTCTCCAGATGCTGGCTGCGGCTGGATACATACTTCATTTGGAGCTTCATAGGGCCCGCTACTCTCATCATTATGGTAAGATGCAAACATGTGCCATGACACGACGCTACACGAAGTTACATTAAGGTTTCTGCGTTAATCTCGTACAAGGATCCCCTGAGCTTCTCAGCGGCAGGAGTTAAAATGGAAGGGAACTTTCTGTGTCAACTTAATAATTCCTTTTTGTGGATTAGCTCTCTCGTAGGCACACATTCCTACAAGCTGGGAATCTGCGGAATGGACAGGGAGCACAAATCACTGCGCCTTACACAGATTATGATAATAACTCTGCTCAGTTATGTTGCTGTTGGGCATTTGCTTTGCAGGCTAAGTGCTGCATTTCCTTCTGACACAGATGTTTCACAATAATGCCAATTAAGCACGGCTGTCTGTGAGGTCTTTTATAAAGAGACTCAGAATGTGTTTCAGCAGTCGGCTCTGAAAAGACCCCTTGAATTGCTAAAAGGAGACAGAGAATGACATAAAAAGAGGCGTTTGACCCAAACAGAATGAAACAATGAGATTGGTTCCCAGTCGCCTGGACACAGGCGCTCTGTAGTCAGCTGAGGAACACGCATCGCTGTCGCCGATCGAGCTGGAGGAGAAACAACGCTGTTATGACCTGCAATAATCGGTGACAACCTCCGAGACCCAGCACAGCATCCAGGCAGTCATTACTAAGCCACCCTATCGAGCAGGCCGATCGAAAACACAGCGTCCGTAAGAACTGGGCTTCTATTGTTGCAGTGATCATTTAGAAATGTAGCGACTGCTTTATTATGCCTGAAGCTCGGGTTGCAGTTATTTTGAGCACATGGTGGACTGTTGATGGTTGGCTGATACCGTGCTCCGAAGCTAGTTACACGTGGAAGGAAAAAATAAAATGTTGTTTGAGTTGTTTTGTTGTCTTTAGGTTGCGCTGCTGCAGAAATAAATGTGTGTGTTTCTGTTTGTGTTGCAGCTGAACGTGATCTTCCTCGGCATCGCGCTGTACAAGATGTTCCATCACACGGCCATCCTCAAACCAGACTCCGGGTGTCTGGACAACATCAAGTGAGTTTCTGTGTTTATACCCACGAGTTCCTGCACCACTGTTCCTGGTTTTGTGAGAGTATGTAAATATTTGTGTAAAATGTGCTTTTATTTTTCCAAAAGAAAAAAAATGTGTCTCACCTCTGCTATCTTGTCGTTTCGGGAAAAAAGGATGGAAAATGTGACCCTTTAAAATAGCGGGTTAATAGTGGGTTTCATAGAAAAATAAAATGTATTAGGCGTAAAAGCTTATACAGTGATCCCTCGTTTATCGCGGTAGATGCTTTACAGTACAGTACTATATTGAATTATCGTATGATCACATTCTCTTTTTGTGGGCAAAACTCAAGAAAAAAAAATTTTACTTGGTTTTTTTTATAGTTTTATTACAAAAAGTGCATTTTATGATGAAATTGATGAAAAAAACAGGAATTTCTTGATATTTCGCATAGAAAAATACCGCGAATCAGTGAAAAATACCGCAAATTGACGAATTTCCCTTGAATAAAGCTCCAAAGAAAAAATTCACGAAGTTGTGAATCCGCGATAAACGAACCGCGAAGTAGCAAGGGATCACTGTATGTGCTGCTTGTTCTGTTGCGCTAATAGTTTAATCAGTGTCACTAAAGAGTTTTATAGCAACATATAACATATGTCACGCCCTCCTGCTTGTTTTATCTTCTGTATAACTGCAGGTTTTAATCATCTGGAATTTTTTATTTTGAATCGGAGCAGGAACATGTTTTAAGTCTAATATGTTTCACCAGTTATTTTAATCCGACTTTTTTCACCGTCTGTTAAAAGAACATTTCTTTTGACTGGATGAAGACCAGAAACCAAGCTAAAGGCAGCCGTGTGCTGCAAATATTCTGCAGTCAGAGTGTGATGCTGTGTGTGTGACAGCCCACCTGTCTGAAGTGAAGAACAGCACAGAGTCATTTAGCCTCAGGTCCTCCTCCATGTTGTCTTCATCGCTTAGGTGAGAACTAATTAATGAACTTCTGTAACCTACGTAAATGCACAGCACACTCTTCAGCTGTCAGTAACCGTAGAAAACTGCAGATATTTATTAAAGTTAGAGGACGAACCGCTCATACTGATGGACAGAGCATGGTGAGCCAGTTAGCATCAAAGTAGAGAGTGTGTTCAGTTTAGTTAGCTTAGCACGAAGACTGGTGTCAGCCTTTTTCTGTTGGGTGGGAATGAAATAACCCTTTTAAAAAGTTTTAAAATGTTACGTCAGTCCCTCTACCAACAGGAGAATATTGCAGAGGATTCTGGGATATTTTAGAGCATCACCCAAACTTTAGTGTTGCTTATTCCACGGAAACACAAACTCGTTGTGATGGAGACTAATCAGGCTTTTCAACGATTCAAAACAAAATACTCGTTGGTACTAACATAGGAAACTTTTCAACTTGTTTAAAAAGTTAAAGATTGAATATGGGACAATTTAATAAAAACCTCTATTTTCATTTATAGCAACTGCAAATTAATTTTGACCACAGTGTTTCCCCTAGGAATTTTTCCAGCTGTGGTGGAGGTGGTGTTGGCGGGGGGGGGGGGGGGTTGAATTATGACACGTCTCACCTTTATGTTAATGTTGTTTTATTTGATGCACTCCACTTTGAACTGCACCAGTCCAGCGACTGCTGCAGTGTAATAACTAGTATTAAAGGTGAGTACACCAATATTTGCACAATAATCATTTCTGTTTTAAACTCTCAGTGACACACTTTGCAGGGTGGATTTGGCATTTAATTTTTCTTGGCGTCTGGAAAAACATCTTCTTTTGCCCCCTTTACTTTGGTCCAAGATCATTCCTGGGCTGGCCCTCTTAAACACGTTCTACACCCCTGCTTAGTAGACTTAATGAAGTATTTTTAAGCCAGTATAAAAATGACTGAAACACAAATTTACATATTTGGCATTATTGACCAATATTTTTGATTTAATTTATTTGTTAAGAACATCAAGATGCATTACAGTGAACATTATAATAAGCTGGGCGGACACTGTGCGACTTTTTCACTCGTAACACAGCTTCAGCTCAAACTGTACGACTTCAGCGCAGGGTAGATCTCACGAGCCATGTGCTCACTGTACGTCTGGTAGCAACACGTCGAACCTAAAATATGCTAAAAATAGCAGTTTTTACACAACATGTCAGACTTTTTTGTCTTGTTTTGCCTGTTGTCCTTCGGGAGTGCTGCAGGAGGACACACAGGGATTTATGGGGGTTGGATGAGGAAAACGAAATAAAGTAAATCTGTGTTTTGCGATCAGTTTAATTTGACATGAACACGACAAACATGCTTTCTTGACAATCATTGTGAGTAAAAAAACGTGTAGAAATAAAAACGAACGTGTGTTATTGGGGAAATAGCGGGTGAGCGGAGTTGATGCAGGATTGCGAATGCGCCGTGAGCGGTTCTGATACTTTTTGGGTCGCAGCTGCTCGCTGCGCCGCTTCAACCCTCATGAGGAACGAGATAAATATTAAACACTCCAGAAGTCCGTGCGAGCTCACGATTGCTGATCGGTAGCTGGTCACGTGGTGTTAATCGCCTCTCGTAACCCCCTGTACACTACACGACGCTCAGCGCAAAACTCGCCCCGATCTTGTGGATTCTCGCACGAGTGGAAAATCTGCTCAAAAAAGTGAAAAAGTCGCACAGTGTCCGCCCGGCTTACTGTCTGTGTGTGTGCGTTGATGCCTGGGCCGAGCTGACTGAGCTCCCGGCTGCAGTTTTGTGTGTAGGGAGGGGCGGGCGCTCTATCTGACTGGCCAATCACAGAGCGTGAAGACAGTCAGTTACCCAATGAGGATTTCATTCAGCACGATTACAGATATTTTCGAGTTTTACACTCGTTTCATGCTCGTATTCGTCAAAAATGCTTTACCCCCAAATTCCACTACCTCCGCTCCGCTCCGCTCCGGTCCGCCCCCGCCCTCCGCAGCCGCTCGCTTCCGAACTCAATTTTTACTGGTACCCGCTCTACAACGGCTCCGCTCCGGTGCGGAGACCTGAGGGGGGCAAACAAGCATGCGCGGGATTTTCGAGATCTTGCGATACAGTCCGAGCAATAAACGCGGAAGTTAGATCCAAACACCCGTTGTGCGGGAGAAGCATCGAAATGAGCTGTTTAATCTGCCCATCATTGTGTTGAGAGATCAGCAGTGTTTGGATCAACAAAGTGTGACTACTTTGATAGTGGCAACTGTATTTATGGCTTATTTTTGTGCTTTTAAACTTCAGCCGCCATTGATAGTTGTTAAAAGTTGTTAAATCTGTGCATATGAAACAAAAAACGCCTTTTGTTTAGCGATTTATTGTGAAAAACGGAAGATGTGCTTGCTCCTTTTCCTGTTGGGCCGTTGTGATTTCTGTCCATTTACTGCGGAGGTGCTCCGGCGTCCGGCAAAAATAGGATCGATTCTATTTTTGCCGGACGCCAGAACAGAGGGCGCCGCACGGCGCCGTACTGCCGGAGCACGGCCGCAGTAGTGGAATTGCTCTGATTGACTAGAACGGGACCGATTTTGCTCCGGCGTTCGTGTCGGAGCGGAGCGCAGCGGAGCGGAGGTAGTGGAATTTGGGGGTTATCCGTACGCTCATAGCTGTAACCACCCTGCCCTGCCTCCTCCTCCTTGCTACCTGCCGGCTGTGATCACAAGCAACAACACAGTCGTTCCCGCTGCTTCTTCGGGAAACGGCGCAAAAAAAAAAAAAACATCACTTGGGATGTTGTAGGCGTGGCGGTGGGATTTCAGCCGTGGCGGCCCGCCACGGCTACGCCTATGTAAGGGAAACCCTGGACCAATAAGATGTGATGATTTCATATAAATATGAAATATCAGCCTGATTGATCGTTGAATGTTTAATCAGAAGATTATAGTTACTTTTACTTGTTCCGGGACCATAAACACACTTCGTATTAATTCAGACAGAGTCAGGTATGTAGTTAAAAGGAATTTTATTCTTTTCTAAACTAATGATTTATACATGACAAGATATGAATAATGAGTGCGTTTACATGCAGCCAGTAACCCTTTTAAAACCTGAATATTCACAATAACCCAGTTCCGCAGGTCCTTGTAAACACCGCCAAAAACCCGGATATGCTCATAACCGGGTTTTTAAAAACCCGGTTACTACACCTGGGGTAACCCTTTTCTAACCCGAATGTTTGGTCGTGTAAACGCATATCAGGATATCCCCATCAAAGCGTGTGTTCTGCGCATGCTCTGTTCGCAAGGAATCTTGGTATTTTGAGTAGCGAGACGTCTTGTATGCGCCAGAACACCGGAAGTAAACAACAAGTTGGGAGCAACATGGCGAGTTGCAGCACAGCACCACACTTTTGGAGTCACGAGGAAACTAAAGCACAAACGCGGTCGCTATCTCTTCCGAACTGGGAAACATGTTGTTGTTTTCACAGATACCGGAACAAGAAGAACCGGAAATGACGCATATTGCGTCTGGACGTAGTCCATACGTCCTGACGCTATCCCAGCGTCCGCATTTAAATTGGGTTATGCAAGTTAGGGGTAACTCTTTCTATTTATGCTTGTAAACGGGTTATTCTGATCAACTCAGAAACCCGAATACCGACCTTAACCCGATCATAACCCGGATATTGGCTGCATGTAAACGTAGTCAATGAGATGTGTGTAGTGAATATGCGGGGATGGAGTGTGATGTGTGAGGTGGTGTGATGTAATCTAGATGTTCATCAGAACATGGCATTTCTGAAAGAAATTGTGAAATTGTGAAATCTGGGTGTAAGATAATTAGTTGTCTGCTATAAACTAGAGAGTTGATTATTCATAAAACAGCATCAGACACAATCTGTTGTCTCTACAAACCCTGGCGGAGACCCCCAGCAGATCCGGACTGTCAGAAGTCAGGTGGACCTCACGGCACCGGGAGCCAGTAGATTAACTACGATACGACCTGTCCAGTCTTGAGATGTCTCCAGGTCACAGCAGTAGCTGGAACGCTTGTTTGCGTCCAAAGTGGACGTGACTCTTAGGGAGCCGTCTGGCTGTGTCAGCTTGCAGCGTGCAGGTTTTTGACTGTATGTCAAAAGAGAGAAGTCTCAAGGATGCTTGTTTCGAATTGGCTGGTTCGGAACTCCGCTAGAAACTAAATTACTCTGGAAGTAATTCTTGCTTTATCAGACTACTTTGTTATGATTTCTAGCGTATTCCGGCAAATCAGAATGTGCCATGTCTGGAAGGCTTTACCAAAACATTCCTCAGAAAGCCACGCCTTCCTTCAGACACAAGATTCTTAACACTGTGAATTAGAGTCTTTAAACTTTATGTGAGGTGAACCATAACCTTCATTTGTATCTTATGAAGATGTGTATGAGTGTAGATAGTGATCAACTTGTTAAATCAAACACATACTGATCATAAGATCTGCAATGGATCATTGTAAGAGCAACATTCATTTCAACTTCATTGATTTAAGCACAGATTATTCAAAAATTTCATTTAAACATCTTGTTGTTTTACGCAGAGAGATAGGGCTTTTGCGGGAGACCTTGGCAGTTTATTTGTGTCTGCGTTGAAGAACAATAAGTGAGCAAAAGGTTGATTTGTGCGTCTGGATCCTCCAGCTGGTGTAACCTTGACTTTGCAGCTCTGGTGTGTATGATGTTCATTACATCATAGAATTCAAAACACAACTTTATCAAGACAAAATAACTGCCTGGCCATTTAATTGTGAGTTTGTTATTTCTTGCTCCAGTCCAACTCTACATAAAAAGCCCCAATGTAATTTAGCCGGCGTGTCTGGAAGCCACACGGCCTGCTGAGCTGGGAGTTAATAACGTAAATCACAAAGTGGCCCGTTCGTTTCTCCAGCTATCATTTGATTATTATTGTTAATGTATCTTTCATGGCAGCTGTTTTAAGTAGAAAATCAAGTGTTTCAAGAAATAAAGACAAACTAGCTGATTGTTACTTTTTGGTGCCGTTCAGGGGGATGTCATAAAAAAGCAAAGCAAAGGAATAAAAAGAAAAGAAAAATGAATAATCCAACGCTTTAGATCCTTGGAAATTATTTTTTCACTTTGTTGGTGATGTTTTATTATATATTTTACTCATTATCAGCACCATTCTCCTTTTTTGTTCTTATTGTTTGTGTCTAAGTTTATTTTTTTCATCTCTTTGTTTTCTTTGTCTCTTTAATCCCAAGCCATCATAAGTTGTCTTTGTTGTGGATTGGCTCCGGTAAGCCATTCTCTAATCAGCTGTCATCATCCTACAGACATTCCTTTAGTTTGCCCTTTGTCATATTTGTGTTTACACTAATTTGTTAGCATATGGCTGAATGAAACACTATGAGACAGATCTCTGTGTGTCTGTGAGGTCCTAAGATGCTAACATCTAGTCTGATATAGAAATAGTCCAATGGATGGAAAGTATGGGAGAGAGAGAGAGATAAAACCTGTGATCTGAGAGAACTTTGGAGGAAGAGGTGACACGGTGGGATGAAAAAGAGAGAGATGAGAGTACCCGTTATTGAAGAGGGTCATCAGGCGAGCTTTATTGGAGGTTCTGTCTCGCCTGAATGGTGCCACCGAGGGCAACATCGAATCAATCATCTCAGTCTCACTCACTTACTCTCCTCCTCTGTCTCTCTTCTTCCTCATGACTTTTCTAATATCTTCCCCAACGTGTTGTTCTCTCTCCACCCCCACCATCTCCTCTTTTTCCCTCCTTTCCCACATCCTTTGTTTCTATCCGCCGCATTAGAGGTGATCACTGTCCAGCCACCCAATCAAATTAGCAGTCATCTCTGGACTGTGGCAGACCCAAAAGTTTGACCTTTTGAGAGAAATGTCATTTGTAATGGCTGTAATGTCCCTCTACTTACTGCCCCGTGAAGCCGTTCCCACACACACACACACACACACACACACACACACACACAGAGACACGCTCAGGGGGGCAGATAAAGGAGAGTACAATTGCAAATACATCCACGTGTTTCAACATGATCACATTTTCTGGCATTTGACCTGTAACTCATTCCTTTGCCTTTATTCGAAGTGAGGGTTCACAGCTTTGAACACGTTTATTTTTCAAATGAATTTATACCAAACTGTTAACAGCTGAAATTGCTTAACAGTTTTCTGGACTCCATTCAGTGTTTTCCAGCTTCCTGCTTGACCGAGTTTAGCTGCAACTTGCAAAGCGTATACAAGTGAAATAGTGCTTTGGCAGCAGTGGCTGACGTCAGCTGTCATTTTAACCTCGCTCCACTCTCCTGAGATGATATCTAAATGAAGAAATCCTCTCTGACTTGCAAGGGTATCATTCTTTTTAGAAAACTCCCACTGTTCCTCCATCGCTCTCCCACAGTGTCAGGGCTAATGACCCCTTTGACCCCTTGTCTCCTGGTCCCACATGCATCAGCTCTGGCTCATAGAGGAAAGACAAACTGAATCTCAATTTTAAAGCCCGCATGTAACTGACAGGGCATTTCTTCATTTCTGTCCCTCCTTAAAGGTCTTGGGTGATCGGTGCCATTGCGTTGCTGTGTCTGCTGGGCCTGACCTGGGCTTTTGGCCTGATGTACATCAACGAGAGCACCGTGATCATGGCCTACCTTTTTACTGTCTTCAACTCTCTGCAGGGCATGTTCATCTTCATCTTCCACTGCATCCTTCAGAAAAAGGTGAGTGGGAAGCAGTGTGCAGACAGGGGACTGGGCAGATGAATACAAACAAGAGCGTGTTGCGTCTGAGGTTGGGAAATATGGCCTAAATTAGGTATGGGTACCTTTGACATTTGAATCGATCCGGTACTAATTCTCGGTACCTACGAATCTATACCGGTACTTAACGGTACCAATTTTCGATACTTTTGAGTGTTTATTATTTTAATTCTCTTTTATAATTAAATATATATTTTTCTCAATATATAACAATATTTGATAAATATCACGATAAATAACATTCAACTGTTTGTATTTTAACATCGTCCTTGTAGTTTTATAAGCTGATAATTAAACTGAAGCAAACATCTTTACTGTGAACTAAATTTACTGTGTATCTTCATTCCTTTTGCCGTCCTTTATCATTTGATTTTTCATACTGGGAAGTTAGAATTTCCGAGGAGAAAGCGAACGCACCATTAGCTGATAACATTGGTGGCAATGGAAGCTAACATATCAAGCTAACTTTATCTTAAACAGTTTATTTTATTGCTGGAGCAGATTAAAACGATGATGCCTCACACTTAGATCGTTGTCACTGGTTTCATCTTCACCCAATCACACGTCGCATTTAGTAAAGTGAAGCCAAACTTTAGAGCGCATTCTTCTAGTTGGGAATTCGGAGTTCCGAGGAGAAAGCAAACGCACCATTAGTGAAACGGAAGCTAACATATCAAGGTAATTATATTTACCTACCGGAGCAGATTAAGATGACGATGTCTCACTTAGATCGTTGTCGCTGGTTTCATCATCACCCAGTTACCCATCACATTTAGTGAAGTGGACCCAAGCTTTAGCGTGCGTTCTTTCTACCACGCTGCTCTGTTTACAACTCGCTCGCAGCGACCGATGACATAACGCACTTGCGCATGCGCAGCTGTCTTGGCAAGTTCTCGTTATGAACAACGGGTCACCGAAATGAGGCACCGTTTGAAATGACGTGAATCGGTGCTCGGTCGGTACTATGGAATTCGGTCGGTACCTTAAAAAGTACCGAATTCGGTACCCATCGCTAGTCTAAATTAATATTTCTATATCTAGAAGATTTTATGATGACATTATGCACTCACTACATTACCAAATGTTCAGAGAAATTTGCTTTTGGAATCACATGAACTTTAACTACGTCTTGTTCTTAATACGAAATGGTCCACCCTTTGCAGCAATAAAAACTTCAGCTTTTCTAGGAAATCTTTCACCGAGGGTTGGGAGATGTTTTGGGGGGATTTGTTATGACCCTTCCAGAAGCACGGCCTTTGCTATAAGTCATCCCAAAGCTGTTGGGCTGGGTTGAGGTCAGGACACTATGGAAGCCCGTCAAGTTCCTCCACACCAAACTCACTCATCCATTTTTTTAAATTAGAACTGAAACTCTAAGTAATTAGAAGTTGACAGCTGAAAGCTTGATGCTATAAGGTTTACTCTCGGAGTTGCAATATAGTCATTAAACACCATGCTCAAGGAACAACACTCCAGATATTTAACATATTTGACATACTGGCCCAGTTGTAGCTAAAACATTCACCTATAGTTTGAAATTTGGATCAAGATCCTGCCTATAATCATGTGGACGAGCTTCTTCTGTTGGGTGGCCATGATCAACCAAGATGAGGAAGGGGACCTCCCTCCGAGAACAGCCGCTGCTCCTCCGTAACGAGAGCAGTCAGATGAGGTGTTTCTGACATGTGGTAAGATTTTATCCCGGTTTCTTTTCCACAGAGGTTTCAAGACTTTCCTTAAAGATGAGACCCAGCTCTCATTAGAGGGATTAAATATTCTCCCTGGCCTTGGAATAAATCCCCTAAAATGAGCTGCGGAAGCACCAGTAGGAAGGATGTCTGGGGTCCCCAAGTAAAAATGTTACTTCTGCATCCTGAACTCGGATGAGTGCTGCAGGTGTTACTGGTGCAATCAGCTGATCAGTGGCCTCACTGGCATTTATTTCTCGCATCAATATGAAAACCAGTAACAGCAGGCCTTTGTGTTTCCTGCGGAAGAGAAGGATTCCCATCATCTGGATCATTAGGATGTGCTACTGCTAGTTTATCTGTTTAATTATAGATCCACTAGGATAAATACAGTAAAGTTTATCTCTCACCAAATAGAATATTTACTAAGACATCACAATATGACTATAGACACATCACTTTGTGTGTGTGTGTGTGTGTGTGTGTGTGTGTGTGTGTGTGTGTGTGTGCGTGTGCGTGTGCGTGTGCGTGTGTGTGTGTGTGTGTGTGTGTGTGTGTGTGTGTGTGTGTGTGTGTGTGTGCTCTGACTTCTCGATCCCCAGTGAGTCGTGGAGGATGGCTGTTTATACTGAGCCAGGATTCTCTGGAGGTTTCTTCCTGTTAAAAGGGAGTTTTCCTCTCCACTGTCGCTGCATGCTTGCTTAGTATGAGGATTGCTGTATAGTCACTGACACTCGTCAGAGACTTGATGCAATTTGCTGGGTTCCTTATATAGGAAACATTATTTCTGATTGGCATAATGAACTGACCTGAATTGGAATGTTTATAATGTGAAGTGCCTTGAGACGACTCTTGTCGTGATTTGGCGCTATATAAATAAACTTGAATTGAATTGAATTGAATCAGTCATAACCTCTAAACAAGGTTTTGCTGTCGGGCACAAAAACGTCAACTTTAATTCTGATTATTATTATTATTTCTATGATTTAGCAGACACGCATCTGTCCCGTTAGCAGAAGTCTCCTCTTATATTTTAAAACAAACTTTTTCTATGTTTGGGTGTAATTGACCAAAAAGAAATTGCTGGAAATTGTGAGCACACATTGGATTTTATTTTTTTATATCTAAGCTATATTTGACTGGGAGGAAGTGCCAGCGCATCCTGGCAGATTTTTACATGGTCTCCCACCCACTCCCAGTCAGCGCCTGGGAGAAATGAAGAGGAGCAGGATATGGAACGGAAACGTATCACATGCTTAATATTCTCATCTGGCTGCAGCCCTGCAGAGAGTTTTAAGTGCACAACTAGCAGCCATGTGTGCACTCGGTATGTTTCAGGCTCTGGTTTCAGCCGTCCAGAGTGATGCCCTCAAAAACAGTGCAGAGGTTTTCTTTGGCCTCGGCCCAACACGGTTTTCCCCAAGACGCATGGAGCAACTCGGCACGCAGCTGTTCAAACAGAGCATGTGGCGAGACACGCCTGCCAGTCCAACAAGCTTGTTAAAAATCAATTACGCTCTTATTTGTTCTAACTTGATTGAGATCTAAGTGCAGATGCTTCGAGTGTGCAAATGCATCAAATGTCTCTCAGAGGGAACGTGTCAATTTCAGGCAAATATGTGGCTTTTGAGGTGAATGTTGATGAAAGGAAGTTTACAGAGTTAATCTTTTAATGCCTACCTTTTATGACTTTAGTGTTTACTCTGGGAATTTGGAAAAAAAAATGTTTGTTTGATCCTGCTTTGACTTTAAAAAATGCCCTTCAGCAGATATATAGAATGTTAGAGGCAGACATGTTCTCATCTGTGTGCTTCCACCTGTCCCCTTCCTCCTATCAAGGTGCGCAAAGAGTACGGCAAGTGCCTGCGCACTCACTGCTGCAGCGGCAAGAGCGTGGAGACCTCCATCTCCTCCTCCAGCAAGACCACCACCTCTCGGACCCCAGGCCGCTACTCCACAGGCTCACAGGTGAGCTTACCTGCCTGCACCCCCGGACGCTACAGCACAGCAGACTCTCAGGTGAGGCCAGAGCACGCCATGAGCGGTTTGGGATCCTAGCTCTTCACTTTCAAATTGTCTGTTGATCCAACGCATCTGGATTAGACATCCGAATGTGTTCAGATGTTGAAAGTGAGACATCCCAAACCCAGACAGATTTTGTCGCTGAACATTTAGGTATTCAGAGTGAAGATGACACTGAGAAATAAACATTTCTCCTTACCTTTTCCTTCCATGTTGGTCATTTGCTTTTGTTTTCCTGTACCGCCTCTCCTGCGCTAATTTGTCTTTATTTTGCACTTCATATTCCCTGTTTTCTCACCTTATATCTTCCCCTTCTGTTGTCTTGTCTTTTCTCGTTCCTATTCCTTCTCTTTCACGCCCTTTGCCAATGTGGCTTCCACTTTTTGTCTTTTCCTGCACCTTTTTCTTCTTCTCTCTCTCTCTTCCTCTGTTCTGTACAGAGTCGAATCAGACGGATGTGGAACGACACTGTGAGGAAACAGGAGTCCTCCTTCATCACTGGAGACATCAACAGCTCTGCCACACTCAACAGAGGTAACCATGGGATACCTACCATTTGCATCCACATCACTGTCACCGTATCTACTTTATTAATAGCCAAAGAGGTGCAAGCAGCATACGCTGTCATTTAGCAAAGTGGTAGGAGTCCAAACCTCTGATTATTGCATTGTGTGTTTGAAGAGAGGAAGATGAAGAGAATAGGGTTTAAAATTCACTTCCTGCTTTTAATTCTGCTTCAAAAGGTGACTTTACAGAAGGGAGAGATGGGGGCAGACTCTTGTCAAATATAAAACGTGCGCCACTTTAGAAGACTACAGGGAGACTAGCAAGCTGCAGAAAGTTGTTGTCTTTTTCCAGGCGTTAGACGTGTTTTAAAGGAAAATAATTAGAATGTTTGAGTTTGCATGTTTTTAAAAAGCTGACCTGAACACTGTGAGTGTTGATGTTAAAGGCGTATTTTAGCCATTATAAAGTGTGTCTCTGTTTAAAAGTTAAGAGGACCCCTCCTGCAGTAGCTTCCCGAACAGCCTCTATGTGGATAAATGGAGTTTGTGTCCAACATGATTGATGTGCTAAAGGCTAGGCCAAGACAAGCTAAAACCAAATTGTATTTCTACAATCTTAAAATAATTCGAACCCCCAAATGTAAAGCAGTTTGTGCAAATATGAGTTTATAACCGAGTCTAACAGTTTTAACCCCATGACCACCACATCTATTCCATTGCCGTGGCCTTTCTGCGTGGAGTTGCGTGTTCTCCCCATGCATGCGTGGGTTTTCTCCGGGTACTCCGGTTCCCCCCAATGTTCACAACATGCCCCACAAGATAGAAATTGTAAGTCGCTTTGGATAAAAGCGTCTAAGCGAATAAACATAAAACAAGAACATCTACATTAACTTCATCAGGAAGTTTCTTATTCCCTCATTTTACTTCTTACCTAAAACTATCAGTAATTTGTATGATTTTGCAGATATTCTGAACCAAGTAGGCTTTCCCAGTTTCACTGTAAACCAGCTTTTATAATCTCAAACATGTTTAATACTGCTGTTAGTAAAGAAAGTATTAGTAGAAAGTATAAAAGCAACAGCAACTGGTCTGGTGCATTCAGGTGCCAGGTGTGGCAGAAATGTCCTCATATTATTACTGAAATTGCTCTGTAATACAAACCTGGCAGCAGTGTAACACTTTCTAAAAGAACGTTGACATGAATCGCTGTAAAGTCGAGAGTATGTCTGCAGTCCGCTTTGATCAGATTGTTCTGGCGAGTTCAAACGGCATGGTTCAAATAAAACCGTCTCCAAAGCTCATTACTTTTATTGCAAAGGCTGCGTCGTATTAGAAAGACATTTGATGGTCACTGAATGTTGCAGTAATTTAAATTACAATAAATGCACATTCTTCCATGGTCGTTATGCTTAGAGGACACTCAGCATGGTTCATCATCTCTACCACTATCATTCTACCTGGGTGTGGGCGTCTAGCTAGCTAGAGTTATCAGATTGGTTTAGACTTGTACCGGGATGCTGAACCGAAATGGAAATACAAAAACAGGAACTATAATATCCTGAGTTACGACTTATCAAGTGGTATTGTGCACCAATACTGCACACCCTGTTGTTGCTATGGCAGTGAATTTCGGACATGTTTTGCAGCCCTAATTGCTGCCATCGTAACACAGCTTTAATCTCTTAAATTTCACAATTATGCATGCTAATCTTAACTATCGCCCTAACCCTCCCTACTTCACACTGGAAGCATCAGCAGCATGGAACAGCAGCGGAACATCACTGTTTCTAATCAAATCCATTAGAGTCTATGACTACGTTTACATGCAGCCAATATCCGGGTTATGATCGGGTTAAGGTCGGTATTCGGGTTTCTGAGTCGATCAGAATAACCCGTTTACAAGCATAAATAGAAAGAGTTACCCCTAACTTGCATAACCCAATTTAAATGCGGACGTTGGGGTAGCGTCAGGACGTATGGACTACGTCCAGACGCAATATGCCTCATTTCCGGTTCTTCTTGTTCCAGTATCCGTGAAAACAACAACATGTTTCCCAGTTCGGAAGAGATAGCGACCGTGTTTGTTTGTGCTTTGGTTTCTTCGTCACTCCAAAAGTGTGGTGCTGTGCCGCGACTCGCCATTTTGCTCCCAACTTGTTTACTTCCGGTGTTCTGGCGCATACAAGACGTCTCGCTACTCAAAAGACCAAGATTCCTTGCGAACAGAGCATGCGCAGAACACACGCTTTGATGGGGATATCCTGATATGCGTTTACACGACCAAACATCCGGGTTAGAAAAGGGTTACCCCAGGTGTAGTAAACCCGGTTATGAGCATATCCAGGTTTTTGGCGGTGTTTACATGGACCTGCGGAACCGGGTTATTGTGAATATTCAGGTTTTAAAAGGGTTACTGGCTGCATGTAAACACACTGTATGGGGGTGATTCAAACCAGCCGCCATGCAGCAGGCGTGTTCCAGTAATAATAATAATAATAATACATTTTATTTCAACAGCGCCTTTCTGAACACTCAAGGACACTTTACAGAGATAAAATACACAACAATAAAAGACAGAACAGCATAAAACGAACAGACAGATTGGAGCAAAGAGAGTAACTATTGGAATGCTAGACTGAACAGGTGGGTTTTGAGTCTGGTTTTAAAAAGAGTGAGGGAATCAATGTTACGGAGGTCAGGAGGGAGTGAGTTCCAGAGCTGGGGAGCAGAGCGACTGAAGGCCCTGCTCCCCATAGTGACCAGACGGAAAGGTGGGACAGAGAGGTGGATGATGGAGGAGGACCTGAGGGAACGGGTGGAGGTTGAGGGATGAAGGAGGTCTGAGAGGTACGGTGGAGCTAGGTTATGGATGGCTTTGAATGTATATAGCAGAATTTTGAATTGGATTCTGGAAGTGATTGGGAGCCAGCGGAGCTGCTGAAGAACAGGGGTGATGTGGTGGAAGGAGGGAGTTCTGGAAATGATGAGGGCTGCCGAGTTCTGGAGAAGTTGGAGTTTATGGAGGGATTTGTGAGGAAGACCGAAGAGAAGAGCGTTGCAGTAGTCAACACGGGAAGTGATGAGGCTGTGGACAAGGATGGTGACTGAGTGAGTAGTGAGGGAGGGGCATAGGTGGTTAAGGTTACGTAGATGGAAGTATGCAGACCGGGTAATATTGTTTATGTGGGACTGGAAGGATAGTGAGGAGTAGCAGTAGCAGCTCGCAACGCCACGCTGTGGATCGGGTTCTAATTTTACCGCAAGCCGCTTCTGGGACACGTCAGTTTTTGCAGTTATCATGGGCTAGACAGGAAATCACATACGATTTCAGTGTAATTTTATTTTTAGTCATTATGAACATATTTTTTATCTTTTTATATTTTAAATGTTTTGCTTTTGTGAAGCACCTCGTGATTTTTATCTTCAGAGATGCTATGTATAAAAGATTATTTTCCTTCTTTTAAAATCCCTGGTAATTTTCAAACTAAAAGACTATTTCAGCAATGGTTTAATGGTGGATGACATAAACAAACCATGACCTTTGAAGTCTCGAGGGATTTTTTTGATCTTGCAAGTCCAACAAAGAGCGCGGCCGAGACTCTCCCGGTGTATACTGGCCACAGTGAACAGGGGCGGTTCTAGACCAAATTTTCCAGGGGGGCCACAGTGAGTGAAGCTCACGAGTAAACCGTTCTGCTGCCGCTCCGTGCCACCGATGCCTCCGGTGTGAAGCAGGGGTCAGACTTGACCCCGGGATGCAGCTGAAGTGCTTCTGTTTCCTGCTAATGGTGTAAACCACAGTTATAAATAACAATAGAATTCCACGTAACTATTTGCATAATTCTAAAACTTCTTTTGCATTAACTTCTATGAAGCATTCGATCTTGGAGCTGTTTTAAGCAATCTGTTTGTTGCCATACCTACGCTCAGAGCAGCTATTAGTTCATCAGTCCTTGTTAGACACAATCTCTATTTCTCCACGCTAAAACCATTCAGGAATCTACCTGCAACAGGTAAAGTAAAGGTGCAGTAACGTTTTAAACCTGGTCCGTGATGAGTAACTTTTTTAACGAGCTTAATGTTATCGGAGCTGTCCGTTTTCTTTGTGTCAGAGTACGACGCTGTAATGGACTCCAGGAAAAGAATCCATACGTTTTTGCTGTCTAAAGGCCAGTGTAATGAGGGCGTAGACACCCGAACAGCCAGACAGCTTCACACACACACACACACACACACACACACACACACACACACACAATCTCACTGGAAGGCACGCTGCCATTTGTTAAGTCTCCAAGTTGAGGGGTGGCCCTCGCTTTCTTCAGGCCACTAATAAGCTGTTAGCATGACAGATGGATACTAAAGCAGGCGCGGGTGCGTGTCAGCGCTTGAATTATCACGCACTTAGTGAGGCAGGGCTTCGGAAACCCACACCTCCTTTTGCCCTCGTGCTTTCAAAGTGTTGTGCACTGAGCTGCTTGTGCCAGTAGATTTTCAAACAACTGAACAGAGTGACATAATGAGTAAGGGGGGGGGAGCAAATTACACTGAGTTATGTCAGGTAATTGAAATTTGTTATTGCGTGGTGTGAAAAACTCCTCTAATATCGATCAGACGACGCCAGCTGTGAGGGAAAAGTGCTCTAGTGTCACAACAGTGACAGTAACAAAAGTTGACAATGTTTTCTTGGAAATGTTGGAATTTTGCAAGTCCGACACCCCTAAGTAATGGCTGCAGCTGCTGACAATGGCAGAATAACACAATAGAAAGGCAATCATATTACTTAGGTGATATGGAAATGGGCTGATGCCAAACATACATTAGGAAGCTGCATGCTGTATTGATTATTTCGTAGGAAGAGACATAGCACAGCAAAAACTGACACTCTGCATGCAGCAAAGCCATTTGTTTATCTTGTATCCGTGTTGTTTAAGTCACAGACTCAAACTGTCTACTGTCAGCCTCTTCAAGCAGCCAAATCGTGTCTTCCCTTTTTTTAATTTTATTTTTTCCAGACAGTGATCGTTTTTTTTTTTAGAGTGGTTTGAAGCTGCATCTGTGACAGCTGAAGTTCTGGGTCGTGTGACAGATTTTTCTCCTTGGCTCATTTTTGCAGTAAAGACGTTAGAAGATGCTGTGAACTTGTTTGGGGGTGTCAGAAATGTCTTTGCTCAATAGAAACTAAAATACCCAACAAACCTTCAGAAACATTGTTATTTAGCTTAAAAAGCTCTAAATGGAATGAAAATCCTCATTAGCAAAGTAATCCAAATATATCAGTCCTATTGTGCCTTGTGCTGTTATTTACATTTTAATCTACTTTAAATAATAAACATAAATCTTATTTAAAATCTAAATTTTGTTGTTTCTAAAATTGTAAAGAATGA